TATATATATATATATATATATATATATATATATTATATAATGCGCTCAAACATACTATGGTAGAAGAATTATATTACTAACCGCGCATCAGACAGACAACGCATCCGTGAGGCAGTCTTACTAAAGTCTTCAAGTGAATAAGAGCCATGGATTTAAATTCTTATCTGCACGAATTCAGTATTGTTTTGATGTTATTGAATTTCTTTATTCAATTTTGTTTATGATCAGCTTTGTTAAAAAAATATATCATAGTGCTAACTCATATGAAATTAATTTTTACTTGTTATAATTAGTGTTTTTGATAAATTTGGATAAACAATTAAAGTTATGGAATATAACCACCGAAATATATTGTGGTGTAATTGAATTATAAAAATAGAATCAATGGGATTAACATACAAAAGTGAAAATGTGATTTACTTAATCATTTTTTATAATGTAATTAATAAAATTGTACACAAACATTGTAAATCGAAATAAACTATTTTTCGCGTTTGTAAAGTTGTGTGTTTATAAAGTTTGTAAAGTTTTGTTTTGATGTTTATCAAGAATTATGTATTTAAATAAAAATAAAACTTAAATATAAATATAAATATTATATAAGTTTAAACCAAATAAACACCAACGAAATTCCAATATCTCCCATGTGTACCGAATGCTTTAAAATTTAATTTAGTACATCAACAATACGGGTGCGCTAATTATTAGTGTTCACAGATATATAGGTACTAAATCAATTAACGTTCTTAAGAAAAGTCACATCTGCCTACCATATGTGTTTTTTTCTGTTTTACCATTTGCAACTGAATGCGTTGACGATCTATTCTAGTTGACGAGGGAAAAGTTCTTGGTACTACAAGTTAATTGAGTCATTTGTCTTGTTACTGGAATGACCTAGGTTGGGTTTCCTTAATTCTTTTAAATGAAAACAACTTGCATTCAATTAGAAAGATCATATATTTTGTCGTATAATTTCAAAATAGAAGTAAATTAAATTACATTTAAAATAAATATATGCAATGAGGTAGAACATGTTTTAAAAATAATTATAGAATACTTTGTGAATAAAGCTAAAGTTGAAATAAATTAAGTGTATTGCGATATCGAGAAGGTCAAATAAATTTAATTTATATTGAGTATGATGAGGCTGATTTTAATCCATTTATTAACGGCAAAATAAAAAAGCTTAGAAAATATAAAGCAGAATTAATTTATTATATTTTTATATTGAAGTTCCAAAAGTGAATTTATATTTAAATTTATTTGAAAATTAAATCGCAATATATTACAATCGCAATGGACCATAAATTAAGTGAGTCACCGATACCATCGTGAATTCGGTGGAACATTTGCCCACGCCTTCTCAGCCAATATTTTTGCAAAGACAGCATGTGCGAGTTAAGTCGTGCTTCAGTTACTGTGGCGGCGCTGGTAGCAAATTTCGAAGGTGAGGACGATCACCTTAGCGGAAGATCTATGCGGATCTCCAAATCAGGAAGACGTCCGCCTGCACATCCGCAATCCACCAATACTTCCGCCATTTATAATGGATCTAGTCATCCAATAAGGAAACAAAGGTCCGGTACTTTTATAGTGCAAGAGTCGGAATGTTCAGTTACTGTTACTTTGCCTATTTCTTCACCTAAGAAGATGGTGGATTCAGAAGAATCTTCAGCTGAATCGCGAATTGGAGGCTCTTGCTCTCCGTCGCCGATTGTGCAGCAAGAAACGAGCACTACTAGTGAATGTTCTGAAGAAGGTATATAAATGACTAAATGAAAATGAAAATGCCAACTTTTTCGGAAAAGTTTTAAAATTTTAATACGTTTCGGACAACAAAGTGCAATTTATGATTGAGTTTGAATGACATTGGATTTTGTTTACTATATATGGTAGAGCTTGTTTTAATGGTTCACGGGTAAAAAAGTTCACTATCATTATCTCAAAAAAAAGCAAAGATGTGCCACCAGTTATCACCTTAATTCTTACGACATTGATATCAAGGGATAAACGAAAATGTGTCAATATTTATACCAAAAGTATTTTTTTTGTTTGAGCTTTGTATTTAGTTAATGATACCTGAAAATAATTTTCAAGTATACGTTATTTTATTGTTTTGTAAGATGTATTGTTATTTTTCAAGTTAGGTTCAACAGTTTTCTTTTATATACCTTTCATAAAATCTTACAGGTGAATGGGGTAAAAAGGACCAACTAAATCTTTACAATGACAAAGGCTTATAAACAAAAAGAAATACTGAATAAAACATATTAAGTTAAAAAAAAACATTTTACAAGAGATAAATTAAATTTATAGTTATTCTACCTCTGCTGATGAATATTTTTTTCGAAATACCAGATCGAGTTTATATACAACTAGGTGGTGTATGGCATCGTGCCTTAAGGCAAATTGCTGGAACTTCCCGTACTGTAACGAAATGTTCGAGTAATATGAAATGCTTTCAATAGATTATTATAAATACTGTAACTTATATATGTTTACAGAAAACTAAATGAACAAAACTTAATCATTCGAATCTAAAATAAAGGACATAGTCTAATATTTATAAGAATTATATAAACTAAATTGCAAAGTTAAAATTATTTATTTTAACTACAAAAAAAATTTTTTTGGAAATTAAAAAAAAAACTATTTTTTTGCCCGAAAATCATTCATTTCGTCAACACAAGTAGAAAGTTTTTTGAATCATTCAAATCGGATGCTTGATTCTCTCAAAAACTGCGATTTCTTGCACATTTAGCTCGGTATCTCCGAAACTGCTGGACCTGCACCACTTCTCTCCGTCATTACATATTGAATGTTTTTTAGATCATTCAAATCGGATGTTCCGTTCTCTCAAGAACTCAATTTCTATTTTCTGCACTCTTTGCTCCATATCTCTGAAACGGCTGGACCTGTATTTGCCAAAAACTAATCAGCACATCTCCCTATCAATAGGAATCTAATGTTTTTTGAACCATTCAAATCGGTTTATCCGTGCTCCCGAAAACGTGGACGAAAAATTGCATTCATACATGCATACACACACATCCATTTTTTCTGAAGTATGCCAAAATGTTGAGAAACCTTCAAAACGTGAAGAAATGTAAAAATTATCAATTTCGATTTTTGGACGATTACAATAACTTACCCTACGGGAAGTTAATAAAATCTTTATGAAAAATGCTTCCTTAAAATACGTATTTCACATTGGTTAAATATTGTAGCTATTATTTTGTAATATTCCTTTCAAATAAAAAAGACTTAGGATGTTTTTGCCCCCTGGCTGTTCCTTCATACCCGCCTAGAGGCAAAAGGGACAGATGGCAAATTTGAGAAAAATAGTTAAAATGCTTGTATTGTTTTTTATATAATTAGGAATTTACTGGGAATTGTTTGTTTGACACATGTTATGTGTTCCTGGAATGCATTAGATTCAGACAGTATAATAGCTGAAAGTCAAATTGGACCTTTGTGTCCTGTCTTCCTCTATAGCTTTGGAAATGTAGAAAGCCTTGGTGATGTAGGAATATTTTACAATCTGCTAATGTAGGAAAATGTTTTCTAAAGATTGTACTTAGTAGATAGTACTTGTAGCAGGTATTGCGATATGAAATGATTTATTTATAAAGTTGAACATTTATCGTAGGTTTGCGATGCATTGATAGGCATTTTACATAACGTATGTAATATTATAATTATTCTTGCCGATAATTACTACGTTTGCCAACTACCGTTTATAAATTTTATGACTTGCGGTTAATGTACACACGTGTTCCTTGGTAGCTTCTTTATGCTTATTCATATTATACTACGCGTTCGTAACTTCCGCCAGATTCTAAGCACTTCACGTGAATTATAAACAGTTCCAAAATCCTACCAGGACTGTCGTCGACTTAGAACATGGAACATTAAAATCAAAATGAAAGAAAACATATTTATATATTTCTTGGCAAGATGTCCTCATTCCCTAAGCATTTTTTTGAACTACCTTCACTTCCAAACTCTATTTCTTGCAAATAAAAAAAATCTGGTAGTTCTTGCTTTTACGGACAAAGTTTGATTTCCATAGGTTTTACAATATTTTCTATTTTATTAGGGTTTTGATCACTTTTCAAACCGTGTTATAAGGGGCATATGTTTTGTAAATTGTTTAGTTTTGTATTATATTATCTTCATAGAGATAGTTCTTCATAGTGTTTTGTGTTTACACACTACTCTTTATTTTTTATTGCATTTTAGCTACAAATCACCCCTTGTTACTTGATGTTTATTTACAGCTGGAACAAGCATTAAAGTTAAAAATAAATTCAATTTCAAAATACTGATTTTTTATATATTGAGAAAAGTTCTTTTTTCCTGATGTCTTTATGAAGATATGAAATTAAAAGTTGGAATTGGATTATGTTGTTGGATTTTTTAACTCTCTTTTATCTGGAAAATCTATTTTTTGTTTAGAATATGCGAGTTATTTAACGTTCAAAAGGAATTCTTCTTGTTTCTTAATGTTCGACAGTCTATCTTGTGGAGTTTTAGTTCAATTAATTGCTTTAGATATTAGTATGTGTTGCTTCATCTTAAGCGGGTCATAAAATTCGATTCATCATTAATACATTAAATATTCATTAGCACGATTCTTAAAATTATTGCTTAATAATGACAATAGCAATTAATTGAGTTAAAAATAGATTCCAAAGTAATGTGCTGTGAAGTTAATAAGACTATATTTTAAATGTTAATTTATAAACTTTATCTGCGATTGGATATCTGTTATTTTGGCATCACAATGAGCTTTATTCTAAAATATTGTAAATGGTTTTTAAGATATTTATTTGAAAATATCATAGAGAACACCTGGCGATATATGTAACAGAAAATGAGATAATTTAAAAAAATACAACACTGAATTTAAGAATTAAATTTTTAATTCGTGTCAAGCTTGTTACAATAAATTTTCAGATATACCTATTTTTAAGATTATTGCTATTTATGGAATTGTATGATGAAAATGGTTTAAAAGAAGTTATTTAAATATTCATTGTATTTTTTACAAACAAAAAAGTGTTCTTTATTTACTTTTCGAATAAAAAAAATTATTTATTTCTCTGCTTATTTCAGTTAAAAAAAATTTATTGTTTGTGAAGATAATGATTTTTAAATCAAAATAACTATGTTTTGAAATTCACATTGTTTTGAAATTCCTGAAATTTGCATTAAGGCACGATGCCATGCGTCACTAATTAAAATTTTAAATGTTCAATTATCGTATTAAATATAAATAAGGAATTGAAGTAAAAATTGTAGTAAAAATAAGGAACAGTAATAAAATATTCGAGGAACGTTAAATGCTTTCAAGTAGATTATTATAAATACTGTAATTTTCATCATTCGATTTTTATAGACAAAGTATAAGAGTTTATAAATTTGTTGACGACGTTTATATATGGTTACATGAAAAGTAATTACACAAAACCTAATCAAGAGGAATTACATAAATTATTAATATTTACATAAGTATATGAATGAGCTTTAGAATTGTAGCTAGAATTAAAATTAAAATCTTGATCATATTTTCGATACTTAAAAAAAAATTAACAAACCAATCGTTTCTTTGCAAGAAAAATGTTTTTTAAATCATTCAAATCGGATGGTTGATACACTCAAAAACTACCATTTTTTGCACATTTAACACGTATCTCCGAAAAACTAATCAGCACTTTTTCCCATCATTACAAATTGAATGTTTTTTAAATTATTCAAATCGGATGGTCTGTTTTATCAAAAACTTTATTTCTATTTTCTGCACTCTTTGCTCCTTATCTCCTAAACGGCTGGACCGACTTTTGTCAAAAACTGATCAGCGCGTCTCCTTATCAATAGAAATAGAATACTTTTTAAATTATTCGTTGATACCGAAATTGTATCCACACAAAATACGCGTACGCACACACATATATACATCCATTTTTTAAGGTATGCCAAAATGTTCAGAAACCTCTGAAACGTAAAGATATGCAAAAATTTTTATTTTCAATTTTTAGGCTATTACTATAATTTATCCTACGGAAAGCTATAAAAAAGTCATTTATTTATTTATAACCAATTCCTGGGTTAGCGATTTTGATCGAATGTGATGGGTCAAGCCGCATGTGCGGCATTCGCACCAGGCTGGAGAGCTTGTTGCGTACATTTGGCAGCTGGCCAGAGACGCTGCTCAGGGCGCGGCGGCTGGAAATAGCGCTAAGCGCACACCATACGACCATTACATATATCAGTACGCATTATAGCATCTAGATTCCTTCACCATTTTATTGCATTCTTAACTCTATAACTACGACTTTTAACTGCTCTACATGATTCTGAGGTCTGCATAGTAAAATTTTGCACAATAAATTATCACTTGAACTCTTTAATTTTTTGCCATTGTTGAACCGAACAATTGTCTGGAGCTCAACTCAAAGTAATTGTTTTCTTCAGTATTGAAGTATTCGATACTTGCATTACCACGTTTGCAATTTAAAACATGATTCTATATCATATCGTTAATTTCTAACTATATTTTACTGTTCTTATACAAGATAACTGTATCTCTACATATTTTATGCTAACATTATTATATATTTTATGCCTAAAAGAAGTATGCTGTTGAATTTTTATATTGCCCACTTTTAGAATTCAGTATATCTGAATTTATTATAAATCTGTTCACTTACAAACTTCTTCCATGTGTTCCTAGTCGACTTTATTTTTTTTTTAATTTTTTCTTCTCATGTAAGTAGTCGTGTATGTGCGGTTGTTTTCTTTCCGATCATCCTTTCACTTTTGTTTCACTTATTTTACTTTGATGACCTTATGCAGAAAACACGCTTTTACCAATCACAATCGTGTTCAGTAGAGTTCTTTCTTACCTCAATTTTTGCAGAACATTTTGTTAGTACTTTTATAGGTTCGTAATGTTTTCATATTGGTCTATATTGTTATCTCTTCATTTCTCCAGCACATATATGATTTTCGTCTGTCTTGTCTAGAGTCCATGTCTCTAATCTTTATAGATCGACTCTCTGAATGCAATCAGTTTATCAATACGGTCATATTCGCCGTATTTATATATAATGATATAAAGGAGATTATGGAATTTTGCAATAATGTTAAAAAAGATATCGTATTGTAGATCTCTTTATTTAAGTCATATGCGAATGGGGAATGTCCATATATAAGCCATATGGTATTTAACATCCTCTTTATTTTTGGTTCGTGTCCGACTTTTAAGTAATAAAAATGTTATCGAGATACCATGAAATCATTGTGTAAATACACTTCGTCAGTTTTCAAGCTGCAATTCAGATAAAATCTTTCAACTTATTTTACACACGCCCAGACCGCACTTAAATAATGCATATGATTAAGTGTGCTCTTATTTTTATCAAAGTGTTGATTATTAATAACACGTTATTTAATCTTCGATTTTAGCGAATTTTATTTATTGCAAGAGGTATAATTTTAAATTTCGACTTTGAGACTTTTGTCTGCTTTATGTTTTTACATAGAATGAGCTTTTTACGTAAAGATGGAAGATTTCTGTGGGAATTGTTACAATATCATTTTTCAAACCGAATGGGCACAGAAATTAATATTGTCATCGCTAAAATAAATGAGAACAAGTGATAATATATTGCTAGTTCCAATAAAACTCTTAATTAATGCGTGAACACTGGTGATACTGTTGTGTATTGTTGACTTACAAATTGCTTTGATCCTATTTGCGGTACTATGTAGTTAGAAAATTATATTATCGTTGGCTTCTTTAATTATTTAATTATTTTATTTCATTTCTATGCGACCTAAAAAATCTATATTTTTAATAATTAGCGTGAAATTAGGTCCTTGTCTAAATTGTTATCTTATGACACAAACATTCTTATCTATAATAATACTTACTGCTAAAGGTGTTACGTGTGGGATTGAAAAATACTTGCGCTTCATAATTATGTTATGAAACAAAGATAAACGCTATTGTTAACATTACATAACTTATCACTTTTACTTTCCGCTTCAGTATTTAATTCATATTTTATTTATATTTTAAAATAGGGTCGGATTTTTTTAAATTTATTTTTACCAGCCTCGCCTACTTAGAGCATTTAGCCACACCTACAATTTTAAACTGTCTTTATTATATCATATTATATGTCCAGTACCGGATTTGGTACCCTGGGGCACTGACAAAACTGTCGCCCCATCACTTAAATAGTTTTTATGTCTCATTTTTCTAAAATTAAAATAACTATATGATTGCAAAAAATATTACGTATTACATACTATAATAATGTAACCAAATATTTATATTAATATTAATAGGACTTTATTGTATTTTTAAGTCTTCTTGGAAAAAATCTGTGGGCTATATATTTAAACAATAAAATAAATAAATATTTGTTCTAACAAATATAATTATAAATTTTTACTAAGGACTTTCTTCATAAACACATTCGACGAACTTCTTAAATTCCTGTAGGATATGTTATTTAAAGTTAAAATTAAAAATGTAGTAATCGCAACAAAATCGAAAATAATTTTTTGTATATCTTTGCGTTGCGTATTCAAGGTTCCTGAACATTTTTTTCTTACTTTCCAAATTTTGCTGCCTCAGAAAATTTTCTGCGCTGTCCTTACTGTAAATCCAGCACTGACTATATTTATTATACATTTACTAGCTTTATTATATCATATGCTATCTTTATATATCCTGTACTATACAATTTTCTTCATTCATAAATCCAATACTATTTAATTTCTTACTAAAATCTACTTAATTTCAATCCAATAAATCAAATGTTTATTCTGTAAGTTGAACTGGTGACTTGAACCGAGTATCCCTGGCGGGCATGCTACTGACTGAGCTATATTCCAGTCACAGCGTCGGATGATTTAAGTATAGTTCCAAATTCACGACAGTTTATAAAACGGTATAATTTATGAAGCTTGTTAACTTCATCATAAATCATTTTGGCTCTATAAATAAAAATAAAAATTTAGGACCCAGACTCTGGGTTTCAGATAGTCCAGTCACTATAGTAAGTTTACCTCGGAATTCGAGATACCCAGCTGTAAGTCTGTAAATACTTATATATTGACACCCTAAAGTTGTCTCAAACCTACATATGGTATTGACACCGTACTAGATGTAGGTTTTGAGACAAATTTAGGGTGTCAATATATAAGTATTTACAGACTTACGGCTGGTATATCGACTTCCGAGATTCTTACCTAATTTAAGCTTAAATGACTGGACCAAGGATGGTGAATACGTTTTCCGAAAAAGTTGGCATATTCTTAACATATACTATCAAATGATGCACTGACCCTGCTCCTAATCATCGCAGACACATCTACATGTAGCGATGCTGATTTCACATGGATCTGCTCCCAACCGGAGTCGAGTCCTCCGCCAAACTCAACTAGTCACAAATCAAATACTCAATCGCATCAAAATCTACGTAAAGCAGGCAGTTCTTCGCCTTCAAATGCTTTGCAGCAGGTAAAACACAACCAGGAACCTACTGCGCGCAGTTGTGGAAGTTTAGACCGAAGACGTCCGGCGAGCAGGGCTTTGCGCGACCAAAAATCGCGTTCGACGCACACTCTGCGGTGCGACAATTGGAGCGACTCGACAAATTCTAGAGAAAGCAGGTTGCCTCTTATCGTTTGTTTGATTAGTAACAATGGCTTCTTAATGAAGCTTTAAATGCGGATGTCCACGGTGGTGTATTATTATTTTACAATTGTAATAACGACTTCAACTTATCTCTAATTTGTAACATCAATATTATGTGTACGAAAGACGTTTGGCTGTAGTGATAATC